GAGGTGGTGGTCTTCATATCATATCTGCACAACAAATACGCCATCTCCTTCACACAGGTGGCGCTAGAGCATTTTTTCATATCCAGGTTGTGAACCCTGAGCCCCCTTCAACCCAAATTACCAACCCTCAAATCCAAACACTCATTCGCAAGTATACTTCCCTGTTTCAGACACCCACCACTCTTCCACCTACTTGTGACACGAATCACTCTATCCACCTGCTCCACAAATTAAACTTGTCAATGTCCGTCCCTATAGATACCCTTATTTCCAGAAACAAGAGATCGAGAAATAAGTAGATGCAATGTTGAACAATAGTGTGATAAGACCCAGCACCAGTCCCTTCTCCTCACCTGTTCTAATAAAGACGGCTCTTGGAGGTTTTGTGTGGATTATCGCGCACTAAATGCCATTACTATCAAGGATCAATTTCCGATTCCGACAATAGATGAGTTGTTAGACGAATTAGGGGGCGCGACATGGTTTACTAAGCTTGATTTTCTGTAGGGATATCATCAGATTCGAATGCAAGAAGATGACATAAAAAAACTACATTTCAGCCACACCAAGGACACTATGAGTTTAAAGTGATGCCTTTTGGCCTTTATAACGCTCTTTCCTCTTTTCAAGCTACTATGAACACCATTTATAAACCGTTTCTGCGCCGTTTTATCATTGTGTTCTTTGACGACATATTAATCTATAGTACCAGTTTCGAGGATCATTTGATGCATGTAGAGCAAACTTTTCAGGTCCTAGAAGATGGAAATTTTTTTCTCAAGCAATCCAAATGCTTATTTGCTCAACGTCAGATTGAATATTTAGGGCATATTGTGTCACAACAGGGGGTCAAACCAGTCCAGGAAAAGGTTGCAGCAATTCAACTGTGGACCAAACCTACTACTACAAAGCTCTCCGCGGTTTTCTGGGATTAACAGGTTTTTATCGTCGTTTCATCAAAGGTTATGCAACCATTACTACTCCTTTAACTCAATTGCTAAAAAAATATCAATTTGGATGGTCACCTGAAGCGCAATTGGCATTCGATGGTCTCAAACATGCTGTTAGTCATGCACCAATATTGGTTCTTCCTAATTTTACCTTGCCATTTACTGTTGAGACAGACGCTTCTGGAATTGGTATGGGGGTTGTGTTTTCCCAACAGAACCACCCAATTTCCTTCTTTAGCAAACCTTTTTGTCCTAAAATGATGTGAGCTTCAACATATGTGCGTGAACTCTTTGCCATTACTTCCGTTGTTAAGAAATGGCGTCAATACCTATTGGGTCATTCCTTTGTCATTCTCACTGACCATCGAAGTTTGAAAGAACTCATGTCTCAGATTATTCAAACCCCAGAGCAACAAATGTACTTGTCGTGTTTGATTGGGTATGATTACACGATTCAATACCGTTCTGGAAAAACTAACGTGGTGGCTGATGCTTTTTCTCGCATACCAGAGGTAACCTCTGCACAATTCCTCTTCTTGTCTGTACCCAGTTTCTCCTTTTTAAAATCCCTGAAGAAGGAACTTTTACAACAACCCGAGTTCAACACCAAACTGCAACAAATTCACACCAACCCCACTAGATGTCTAAATTTCAAGGTTGCTCATGATCTAATTTATTATAGGGAGCGAATATGGTTACCCCAAACCACTCCTTTCATCCAACTTTTACTTGAGGAGTTCCACAAAACCCCCATAGGCGGTCATATGGGCGCTACCAAAACATTGGCACGCATCAGCCCCAATTTTATCTGGACAGGAATTAGGGAGGAAGTACAACGCTATATTATTGCTTGTTTGGATTGTCAACGTTCCAAATATGAAACAAAGAAGGCAACAGGTTAATTGTGTCCTTTACCTCTTCCACATGCTCCTTGGGAGGATTTGTCCTTAGATTTCATTGTTGGCTTGCCTGCGTATCAAGGACACACGACAATTCTCGTAGTGGTTGACCGATTTTCCAAGGGTGTGCATTTGGGCATGTTGCAACCCCATTACACGGCTTACAAAGTAGCACTGTTGTTTCTTGAAATTGTAGGGAAAATTCATGGCATGCCGCGAAGTTTGGTTTTCGATCGTGATCCTCTTTTCGTGAGCCGCTTTTGGCGCGAGCTTTTTAAATTAAGTGGTACCAAGCTACAGATGAGTTCATCATACCACCCACAAACAGATGGGCAAACTGAGGTTTTGAACAGAGTCATCGAACAATACTTGCGCACTTTTGTCCATACCATACCGGCAACGTGGGGAAAGTACTTAATATGGGCATAGTGGTCTTACAATACATCCCAGCATTCTGGTACTAGAAAATCTCCATTTGAGATTACATTTGGGAAACCTGCTCCCACTGTGGCACAATATTTGGCAGGAACTTCATCAATTGAAGCTGTGGACGAATTGCTAGCCTCTCGCGAGTCTATGCGGACTGAATTACGCCACAAATTGACCAAGGCGCAGCGGGTTATGAAACAAATTGCTGATACACACAGACGTGATGTGTAGTATGACGTAGGGGATTGGGTATTGGTTAAACTTCGTCCACATCGGCAAACCTCGGTCACTAACACAACTTATTCCAAGTTACACAAACGCTTTTATGGTCCATTTCAAATTCTAGAGAGAATTGGCGTCGTCGCCTACAAACTACAGCTGCCATCTGAGTCCAAAATACATTCGGTTTTCCATTGTTCGATGCTCAAACCATTTCACCAAGCTGCTGCTACACCAATTCCTGTGGCAACTCTACCCCCTGGCACAGTAGAGAATTAGCCTGTCATCATTCCCATGGTGATACTCAACACTCGTTGGACTCCGACAACGGAACCACGTCTTGAGGTGCTGGTGCAATGGCAGGGTCTTCATGCTGATGATACATCTTGGGAGGATTGAGAGACTCTTAAGGTGACTTACCACCTTGAGGACAAGGTGCTTCCTGATGAGTTGGGGAATGATAACATATGGGCCAAAGAAGGCATGACCGAAGAAGCCCACAATGATATCAGAGGAAAGTCCAAAAGAAATATCACTAGACCAAGATATCTAGAAGATTATGTCACTCAAGATGCAACAAATTCTGTTATGAGGAAATGAGCTGGCAGCTTATCATTGGCTTCACAAAATCTTACAAAGATTATTCTCTAGATTCTTCCTTTTGAATGCATTCTGTCACTATCAGTTTGTTATGTATTGCTTATAAATAGAATGTTGAAGGAATGAATAAAATAAGCAAGTTTTCATACTAATACCATCCCTAACACCTAAGTTCTATCTAGGTTAATTAAATTTAAACATTTAAGGCACATGTGTAATTTTTAAAAATTAAAGCAAGACAATAACGGTTAGATTTCATGTGCTTAAATACTTCTATATCTACTCTTCCTTTTGTGATAAACAAATAAAGAAAGGAAGTATGAAAGATTCTGAAGAAAAAATAATTTCATAAAAGCGAAAATTAAATGTTATAAAACATGTTCAAGAAAATAAGATGTACTAAATACTAAAGCTTAAGATTTTGTCTAAGAAGCTCTAGGATAGTCTTCAAACCAGAACCTATTTCATTCTGTCTTGCAACAACAGTCTGCAACTTGACATCCATTTCTTTATGTCTGGCAGCAACCAAACACAACTTTTTTTTCAAGAGATCTTGCCTTTGACTAGAAGTAACTGACTAACAAAAGAAAGACTTCAAATTTTGCAGAGTTGTGTCCATAAAAGTTCTAAGAGAGTCCCATTTAATTGCATATGGAATGGGATCAGAAACTATGAGCCTCTCAGCAACCAAATTCTAAAATTTATCAAGGAAAATATTTTTAAACTCTTTTTTGTTTATAATTTATTTGAGGTGGAAGGTTAAAATTTATACCGACAAAAGGGTGAGGTGTGAAAGGACTAGATACAAATATTGGGTTAGTTTCTGACTCAGTAATTCTTCCCTAGAACCAAACAATTGAATCAATTTTAAAGAACAAAATAAGTTTTTGGTAGGTTTTTCTTTTTCAATTGAAGCAAAATTTATTTACTTTTTTTTTCTTTCAAAAACCAACTTCTGCTAACAACTACCTCACAAATTAGAAATTTCCATCGAGCAATTTCTTCTTTTTCTTATCTTTACACCAACCGTCGTCATAAAAATACAACACCATTAATATAAATCAATTTAATAAGTAGACTTATGCATAAACAGTAAATAAAAAGACATATGAACTTGAAAGGAAAATTTAGAAAAAATGCAATTAAAATGATTTTTTTTTCTCATTGCTCTTCATTCATTTTCTATTTCCTGTAAGTATACTCTTTTACACACACAAAAAGAGTTATATATTGTTTTAAGTAACATGTTGAATGGAAAGTAAAAATAGCTAAAACATAAAGAATTATTTCTCTTTGTTGTCTTCTTCCATCGATAGCTATTTCTGTGGTTGCTTCTCTTATGGATTTTCCTCTTCTTAATCGTCATCTTACAAATAACGAAAATATAAATTAACAAATAATAACTAAAATCAAAATGAACATATCTAAACAATTTGTGCAACTCATTCCTAACATGATTGGTCGAGTTTCGGAACGATAACTTCTTAAGTTGGTCTTTATTGAAATGGAATGAAATGTCATTAAAGATCAAATCGTCGAATGAGTAGATGAATTTGACTCAGTTCGAGATGCTACTTTGGAGGGCTTTTCTTTCTTCGATTTTTAAATTGTAACCAATTTGCCTCTACCATCTCCAGATTCTCCATTTATAAAATAGGAAAGAAAATATAAAATAAAAAAGAAAATAGGCGAGTTCAAATCCTTCATTTTTTATCTATAGTTATAGATTATTTGGTTTTTTATTCTTAATATTTCTTCGACTAACGTAAAGAAATTAAACACCTAATCAATTAAATTATAATTATCTATAATTATCTTGATAGTATATAGAATTTTAAAATCTCAGTAACTAACAAAAACCCTTAAACTTATATGAACTATTTAAATCTTCACTTCTAAGAAGTTAAAAAAAAGGTATACCATCATAATTAACACTTGTAGACCAAGGCATAGCTGGTGGAGGAATTTCAGAAACAACAAACTGTTGAAAATTTGCATGACAAGTGGCAACATTGACAGAACTGAACCTTGGGTTATTGAGCTCCAAAGTTCTGCCCCAGTTTGCATCACTGAATAAGACATGAAGAGAATGTAGTCTGGCTAATCATACTAACAACTTTACTTTCTTTGAATGAAAAAATATAAGAAATTGAAAAAAATTCAGTGATTTATAATTAAGAGATTATTACCTGTAACACTCGTTGGTGTGATTGAAGCAACTAACACCATTATCATTACCTCCTCCACTCTCACAAACCCTAGAACCACCACATTTACTACACGCATTCATATTTATTTTTAGATTGTTTCAGATGATACTGAAATGAATAAAAATTCAAGGGTCGTATAAATATACATATATATGAGTTTCAAGAGAATTTAAGAAAGGACGAAAATTAAATACAGAATCATAGAATATAAGCTAAAATAAGTATAAGAAAACACTTACTAAAAATAAAAGATTTTTTAGTATAACGAAGGAAAATCTGTATAATATAGTATATAGTATAATATAGAGAAAATCATGAGAATATTACGTAGAAGAGTATCTAAACTTTATATATTTTGCTCTATTTTTTTTTTCATATCCATCCCAACGTTAGAAATATAACAAACCTCAATGAGAAAGAGTCTTTCAAAGGTATGGAAATCCAATTATTCAGCAAAATCTTTCTTGCTTTTGTAGGTTTTCTTTTAGGATTTTTATTTTCAAATTAATTAGTGGATTCCGCCTAGCATCACATGGGAACTTCTAGTTAATCTCATATCTAGAAGGCTTCTCTTTTAGAAGCATATGCACGTGTCTTTGAGTAGGAGAATCATCCTTCTTAATTTTGTTATTAATGTCATCTTTATCTTTTACCTATATTTTCTTATATCTGTCAAAGTTTAGAAGAAGATTGCGAAAATCCAATATAGGATTCATTGGGGGAGGATTAAGAGGGGACTCCAAGATAGCCAGTGTCAAATGAGAAGATGTGTGTAACCCTAAGTTTTGGGGTCGTGGCGTCATGAAATTTTATTGACGGAACAGTCACAATTCCAGGAAAGCAGAACGCAATTACCAAAGCTGGGAGAGAGCATATTCTATGGTGATGATGTGGATCATAAACTCAAAAGATGCAAAAATCCATGGAAGCATCTCAGATGTAGTCACTCTAAGGGACATGTAGATGGATCTCGAAGAAAATTTTGCTCAAGCAGATGCACCTAGAATTCACCAACTATGGCATAATAAGTGTTTAATGTAAAAGAATGATTGAATTTTATACTCAATTCAAAATCATCTTTGATGAATTATGTTATTTTAAACTATAAATGTGTTGTTGGGTGTGGTGTTATTATTTAAGCTTTGATTTTAGCATATTCTAATAAATTAAATTAAATAATTTAATTTTTTGAAAGAAAAATATTGATATGAATTAGATACAAATAAGGAGTTTACATTTTATTTAAAAGTAAAACATTTGATTGATACATAAAAGAGATATATGTCGTTACTGTCATTTGTTTTGATTTTTATGTTTTTGTTATTTTAGTTATATTTTAAGATGTTTAACATTAAGTTCTTAAAAATTGACAACATTTCAATTATCCTTTAATAAATTGAAGATAGGTCTAATGTGGCATGTTACTAATGAAATTTAGTTAAAGAGTCAAATTTAATTTATAATATTTTATGTTATTCATTTAGATAAATTTAAATTTTAGATCTATCAAAATAAAATAAAAGATATGTAATTGTAATTCGTATAAATATTATCATATATAAACAATGAAACTTGAAATTTATAATTATTGAAATGTTTGAGCTCACTCTCATCATCAAACTTGTAAGAATTCTCTAATTGTTTGGGTAAATGAAAAATCTTCGTAGTCTTTTTTTCTATCTAGAATTTTCAAAACAATCACGAGAAATTCTCGAAAGGAAAAACAAAGATAAAATATTACAATCAAATAAACCAAAGCACGGTTTAAAATTATAGTTCTTGTGCGCAATTTCGAGCTCAGAGCTTCAATGTAAGATCAATGCCATCATTACTCGATTCTGCATCTTGATCCTTGACTTCTAAGAAGTTAAAGAAAGGTTTACCATCGGAATGAACACTTGGAGACCAAGGCATAGGCATAGCAGCAGACAGATTCCTAGGTGGAGAACTTCCAGAATCATCATATTGGACTCCATCACCATTCCCTCCTAATGAACTATTCATATCGTTTCCATACGTAGATCCAATGACTGGGGGTAACGATGGTACATGAGAATGCAAAACACTCGAATCCGGACACGGCCATGACAGCGAAATCGAAAACCCTTCATTGTTTCCTCTTTGTGTTGCTGGTAAATCATTTGTCCCTTGTTCTTTCAAGATCTTCTCAAGTTCAGCAACGCCAGGACCCCTTTTCGGAAGTTTTTGTTGTTGCTGTTGTTGTTTCCTTGAACCAGCACTCCACATGGTAACACCATTACCATTATCTCCACCACACTCACAAACCCTAGAACCAACACATTTGATACACACGTTCATATTTATTATTAGATTGTTTCCGATGATATTAAAATCAGTAAAAATCTGATGCTCATATATATATACATGTATATGAGTTTCAAGAAAATTTAAGAAAGGACAGAAAATAAATACAGAATCATAAAGTATAATCTAAAACAAGTATAAGAAAATACTCACTATAAATAAAAGATTGTGCTGTATAAACAAAGAAAATATGTATAATATAGGATTATAGTATATAGTATAATATAAAAGAGAATCTTGAGGTGAGACTATTACGTTGGTGTCTAAACTTAATATATTTTCCTTTATTTTCTCATATCCATTCATCAAAATATTTTCTATTTTTATTTAAAATATTTTACCTTTTTCTTTCTCTTTTTTTTTTTAAGACTAAAATGAGTATTTACGTGTCTTTCTAATCTGTTTTTTTTTTTTGTTTTTATATTTTACTATTGGTGGCAATATATACTTAATAAACATTACTCATAAAAGGGATATATGGTGACGCGGGTTGGAACTAGAATTCAACATAAAATTTTACTAGTGTCAATCTGTTAGAGTGTAATAACGAAGAAATTTTAAATCATAAAGATTCTTATGTGTTTTGGTTTCTATTATTTTAGATTTATCAATAATATCATGCACAAATAGTTTTAAATCCTTAAAATATAAAATTGTGAAGGAAAAAAAAGAATAAAACAATATTTTAGAAATAATTCTAAAAAAATATAAAATATATCTTACAGTAGTTACAAAGTTTTAGGCCCGTTTTGTGCGGATTTTTTTAGACGAATTAAAGTTTTTGAATTGTACCTTTTAATATGTTCACCATGACTGTCGTTTTTTTTTATTTGGTATTTGTAGGCGCGAACATTGATATAACCTTTTTTTTTTCAATTTTAAGTTTAAAAATTATAGTACATGTGGATCTGCCCTACATTGTCCTCGAAAATCCTAGAAGGTGGCTACAAAAAAGGAAGCAAGATATCCAATTGAGTTACACATTTTTCTAACCTAAAACGTCTTTCACTTATGTTAGTCATTGACTTAGGTGTCACAATGTTTATAGGTACCAATGCTTGTTGATGTTGCGTCGAACTAGAAGTATGCCACAAAACTCCCATGAATCTCCCTAAATCTAAAACTTATCAAACTCGCATGAAGTCCATGCAGGATCATTGGTGTCCTTTGTGTCAAGCATAAGGAGTCATGACTCAGAATGGTGAATCGAGGAAGAAAAACAACTCAGAACTCCAATTGTCCTAGTCAATTTGTAGCTTGCAAAGTCATTTAGGTCTGCCACAAATATGGCGAAGGACTCATGATGTTCTCTTCGCACTAGGGAACTTTGATCCCACAACCACCGAAGATCAAAGCACTGCAAGCCTCTCCTTGGGACCTCAAACGTGTACCGCCACTAGGGATCTTCGTAACACTTGACAAAACCTTTTTACCACCTCAAACAAGTAAATAGATATCGAAAAAGCAAAGGAAATATAATAAATTAAAGAGATGAGGGATAAAGAGACACACCCGAGATTTATACAAGTTCAACCTAAAATGTTCTACTCATGTGCCTAAGAATTATTCTTGAGAGTATCCAACGAATTGAAAGCTTTTAGAAAGATATACACAAGAACCTACTTATACATGAAAATGAAGTTTTGAGCCTAACTTCCAACCAAACAATGAACAAGGTTTTAAGTGATTATCCTCCATACCAAACAAATATTTTTCTAGGGTTCATCTCGAACTAAGATTTTGAGTTGGCTATCCTCTGAACTAAACTAGGGTTTTACATAGGTTGACCACAAAGCGAGGTGAGATTTCCAAGAGCTAATCTCGAACCAGCTGAACTTTTACTAGGTTGAATTCAAGAGCCAATTGAAATTTTACACAAGCTAATCTCAAACCAATAGAGTTTTTTAACCGAACTGAGCTCAAAAATTATTGTGGAATTTTTTATGGTTAATCTTCACGAACCAAAAAAGACATTTTTGAAGGTGGGAAAAACACTTAGAAGGGGGGTTGAATAAGGGTTTTGAAACAATTATGGCAATAGAAAAAATAACACAGTATTTTTATCCTGGTTCGTTTGAACTCAAAATAATCCAGTCCACCCTACCAAGATGATTTGCCTTTCTCAACAAGGACTTAATCTACTATATCAAACTGATTACAGTGTCAACCACTAAGACGAACTGTCTTGGTCTTCTCAATAAATTTTGACCACAACGTGGTCTTCTTAAGGAACTTTTACAAAGATGTAAACTAAGAAAGTGTTTTGAATGCTTCTAAAAAGTTATAATCACAACTGTGATTTTTTACACTAGTTTAAGAACGAATAAAGAAAAAAACTATTCAGCTTGAAGAATATTTGTATGAAAGCTTGAGAGTAGTTTTTCAAATTGATTTCTCAATAATTCGTCAACTTTGATATGTTGTTGGAAACTTGTTTTTATAGTACTAGAAGTCCATTTCTTGAAGACTGTGCACTGCTGAGTAGTTGTAGCCTTCTGTAGCCTTTTGTCTTCTATTGACTTATACTTTCCCAGAAGAGGAATGTTCAGACAAATCCCTTTTGTCTGATTTCTTGTGCCATACACAAATGAGGAAAGAGTCGTTCAGATAAGGACAAGGAATATGCCAACGGATCTTTATTTGAATAGCATCTTCTTCAACAAGTTTCTTTATCAAAGTATCAACATCAGAGTTGATGTTATCAGAGTCTTGTCGCAAATGTGCTTCAGCGTGAATATCTCAATCAGAGCAGAGTTGAATATCAGAGCCTCTGTACTTGCAGCGTAAAGTACTTCCAGAGTCTTCTGAAACTATGCTTTAAGCTCTTCACACAAATTCTTCAGCTACGCTTCAGAGTCTTCTGCAGCTTCTGCTTCAGAGTCTCTTCTGGCAGCGCTCAGAGTCTTGTGATGAGATGCTTCTGATGCTCAGAGTCTTGCGTAGAATAATGTTCAGATGCATTTTTTCTTCCATAAGAATATTTAATTTAATATCTGAAACAAAAACACTTGAATAAAATTAGAGTATATATTTACTTCATACAAAATTTCATTAGTGTTATCATCAAAACATAGAGATATATTAAACACCAATTTGTGTTCCAACAATCTCCCCCTTTTTGATGATGACAAAAACATAGTAAATTTTTTTCAATAAATAAACAAAATATATATCTCCCCCTAAGATTATGAGTCTCCCCCTGAATTGAATACTATAAGAAAAATAAATACTTCCCTTTTTGCATAAGTATTCTTTTCAGAATCAGAGTCTGGTTTGGATTAGAGCCTGATTTGGGAAATCTCAGAGTAACTTCTATGAATTTAGTCAGATGAAAGGTTATAGTTCTGAAAGACTAAAATTCAATGTTAGTTATAAAATATTATGTCTGAGTTCCATTTTAGTAATTGTTTATTTGAACAATCAGAATTTCATTTTCTCCCCCTTTTTGTCACATCAAAAAGAAAAAAAAAATCTTCTTTAAGACATAAAAGAAGAACAGAGAAAAAAATAATAAATAAAGCATATGATATAAACAGATAGAAATAGAAACTAAACAGATTCATTGATAAAAAATATAATTTGCACAAACAACAAAAAACAACTAAGGTTGACGAGAGGCTATCATCTTCAGAAGGGTTGTGATCTCAGAAGTAGACTCTTCTTGCCTAGCCATCTACGTCTTGATCTCATCTGTTGTCTTTTCTTGCTTGACCATCCAAGATCTAATCTCTGTGTTGCTAGCCTCTAGCTTAGCAAACTTTTCCTCAAGATCTGGATTCTCTTTCTTGACTTCAGAAGATTCAAGAGCAGATGCAGAAGCAGTCTCAACAACCATAGCAGATGCATTCTCTTGAATCACTGAATCAGCTGCTTTTTCCAGAACCATCAGAGCAGATTGATTAGACACAAGAGTTTCTTCAGCAGATTCTTCTAGGAGAACTTCTTCAGGCCTAGATTCTTCAGCAGACTCAGATGCAACAAATTCTTCAGAAGAAGGACACACAGCTGTAGGAGGTGTATTTTCCAGAGGAAGAATTGGAGATCTACTAACATTCAGAAGAGTTTGTCTGATAACTTCAGCAAATCTTACCTTTGCATCATCAGAGCAAATGGTTCAAAGATTTGAAGCTACAGAGTTGAACCTTGAAATGAATCTATTCCAGATGTCTTCAGAAGCATATGGGTTAATGTTTGTCAGACATTCCTTCTTATTTCTTTTTAAAAACTAGCAAACAAAACATCAACATTTAGCCTAGGTTTTGGTTTAAGGTAGGCTTCCAAAGGTGATGTTTTAGGTGTTGCAAAGGGAGATGGTATGGAAAAAGTGGGAATGCTGAACAAAGGACGAGGATATGGTGTATAAGGTGTGTGGTCAGATGATGTAGTAATAGCCTTAGGTTTGGAAACAGAAGGTTTGAGAGTTAAGGAATAAGGAATAAAAGCAGATGTAGGTTTTAGAGTTGGTTGAGAAAGGATAGGTTCAGATGAAATGGATACATCTGGTTGGTTTTTTTTCAGGGATATTAGAAAAACGGAGTGAAGGGGTGATGTTGTAACACCCCACATTCCCAAATTAAAATAAAATATGATTATTTCAAATAAACAGCAGAGTTTCCCTTCAATAGTGGTATATCACATCATAAAATTCAACAAAACACTTTATTAGATGTTTTCCAAAATAAAGCAGCGGAAATTATTATGAGTTCATCATTCTCGGCCATCCGCCAAATTACATAAAAACATTCATTAAGAAAGTTCACCAAAAGATGATACGTCACAGGAGTAAAACAAATTCAACATAAACACAAATAAACACCCAAGTCTCGTGCTATGTATCAGAGCATCCTAAGACTCGACTCGCACACCACTATCTAAGCTAGCTATGTACCTGGATTATCTGTACTTTCGAAGAAGCACAGACCACGACAACTACAAAGGGGTGAGAAAACATGATCAAGATTATCGGTAATAAGATACATGAATAAAAGGCAGTA